TGATGAACTTTACAGAGTGCTCTTGGAAATTGTGGTTTCATTGTACTGGGTCACAATCCAGATGCTGGGAATTTAAGATAAGCATCCAAGAGATTGCCATGTACACTCATGACTATGAACCACTCAAGTAAATTACTTGATACAAAGATTGCTCAAAATGCTAGACTTTTGGATTCATGAGTGAGTCATTTAGGACATTGAGAGGAATCAGAATTTCTAAGATATGTATGTTAGAAGTGTCCATTGTGTGCTCTTCTAAAATCTAAGATATTTGTTTGTGACTTGGAAGCCTTTCATTCCGCACCCTCTACCAGCATGACAGCTGCCAAACCATGAGACAGCTAGTCATATAATCAGTAGCCAAACCTAGCACATCATAAGCTAAGCAAGGGTGTTCATCTTTCACCACTAAGTGCAAGGTGACAGCAAAAAGAAATGATACAGGGGTTCTTGGCCATAGATCATCCGCCCAGGTAACATGCTGCAGGAGGTATTCTCAGCAGAGAAGTACTGAGACAGTTATGGTGAATTTGTCCATGTATTAGCACAAATATATACAAAGCAGGGCCAGGGAGAATAAATTAGGAGTAGTAACCATGTTGTAACTGGGTATACATATCTAACATATATTATAAGCCTAGATAATCAGTATATCTGTCATGCACATTGCAATATGGTACTGTGTAGCCCATGACAATTTTTTGAACTTGCACGCACTCTGGAGTTGCTTATTTCAAGGCTAGCACAGCTTGCCACAAGATGCATGTGAGCCAGAGTCACTATTCATGTGTCAAAACTTCAAACCTGCAGGCCTTTGCATGGGTTAGGTAAGCTGAGATCCATCCTAGCACTCTATTGCTCACACAGAGGTCAATGGTTTATTTTCCCATCTGGCAAAGGAAGACTGTGGAAAAGGAAAAAAACCTGACCAAGTCGCACACATCATAAATGACAAGAAAATGGATTTGAGGAACCAGTGCCAGTATACCCTATGAGCACCAGATCATGTCCTGCCTACTCCACTTTCATCTCTGTTCATATTCCTGAGAAAGCAGCAGAGCAGAGTCCAAGGGCTTAGGTCCCAGCAGCTCTGTGGGATGCCTGGATGAAGAGCTCACTCACTTGCTCTCTATCTTTCTCTCTCTAACACTGCTTTGAACATAAATAAACAAATATTCTTGGAAAAGCAGGAGATGGATTTGACTTGAGATCTTTTAACATACATTCTGCTGTGCTACAGCTAACATCACAATTGTCTAGGCAATATTGTTACCAAAACTGAGCAAATTCAACCATGAACATCACTGCTTCAGGGAGTTAAGGTCGTGGATGTCTGTACACTTTACGGAGTCACAATTTCATTATTGGCTCTCCTGCTTCCAACACATCTTTCTGCTAATGCTTCCAGGAAATTACCAGATACTGACAAAGGTATTGGGCCTTGTCAACATTGTAAGGCCCAGATGAACTTCTGACTTTTAAATACTATCAAATTCAGCCCTAAATACATGACCATTTGGAGTGAGAAGCAGCAGAAAGGAGATCTCCCTTTTCTCTGTGTTCCCCAACCCTTTGTGTGTGTGTGTGTGTGTGTGTGCACGCACATGAGTGCATGCCTGTAGTTCATTCTCCCTCTGTCTCTGCCATTCAGGGGGAAAAATAAAATACAGGTTTTACAGTAACGAGAGGTCTCTTATTTGATTACAATAGTAATGAGGCAGGGCATGCACAGGTGGGATTCTCTGCTTTTATTCTTGCAAGGCTGTGTCTTGCTCAGCACAACTGTGACAAGAAGCAGCACAAGAGAACATAATGAGAACCACTGTGGAGACTATACTTCTTAACACTCAGCACCACCCAAGGCTGTTTCTCCTGCTTTTGGCCTCTCACTCTCACCTATGAACACTAAATAAAGCACAGCAAGGAAACAAATTATAGACACAACAATCTTCTCCGATGTGGTAGAGAGGGTGAGAGATAGAAATGCCCTTGCTGATATATAGGACACAAAGACCACAATACCCAGACCTGAGCAGGAAGGGCACTCAGTGCTCATCAGCATCAGAGTATCACTGCAGTCCTTTACCTGATCACTAAAGACAGTGTTGATGCAGAGCCATGTGTATTTGAAGAGAGCAGCATGGCTTTTGCTTGTCTTTTTCTAGAAAAATTAAGTCTTTCCAGACCCAGTTACACAATGCTTTATTGATCATGATGGCAGGGATTCTGGAAATTCATACAGTCATAGTCCTCACATGGCTTGGATTCTAACTTTACGTATTATAAATCTATTCCTATGAGAGGAACAGAGAGGGTGAACCTCAAACAGTCCTTTCCTTCCAAGGACACATAAACTACAGTTATTGTAGCTCAAGCTGGATCCTGAACACTCATGTCACCATTGCCTCTACCCAGTGAAACATTCAAGTCTGTGGGATTCACCAACAGTCCTTGAATGTGTGCTAAGTGTCAATATTTTATGATAAAATGTTATTTACTTAATTGGTTAATAATTACAGCAGCAATTTCTTAAGATCATGGTCAAAAATGTTTAGGGTTAACCTTTAGGACTCGAGTGACTTCATGTCCTGATGAGTCCAGGACCAACCCTGTAAATGAATGCATAGGCCTGACTTTTAGAAAATACTTTCAGGGTCACAGAAATGCTTTGTATGAAATATACAGGGTCATACATATGCTACTTAACTGGATTTAATCTGTTGTTTTATAAAATTTCCTAAGTGGATGTATAAAGTATTGCTTTCATTTTTTTTAATTTTATTTTTAATATTATTGACCCAGTTGAGAAATGCATGCCCATGTGGGCCTCCCATTTTGGGGATTGGGTAAAGCTCAGAGGTACTTGGTGAAAGAAATGCTTCAAGGTTTTCTTTCTCCTGAATCCGGAAGGGATGAGGGAGGTCATTGTCTGAAAACATCATACAAACCTCAAAACAGAAGGTGGTTCTTCAGTGGTCTGGACAGTGCTGAGAAATGCCTGTTTCATTGATTCAGGTTGGGAAAATCCTTCTAAGATCTGATGGTTGATAAGATCTTACCTTAGTGAATCCACAAACCCATGGAACACACCTAAAAGCTTGGGCAGTAGAATTGTCTTACCTGATGTAGTTCTTTTAAGATTTATTCATTTTCCTATTTGGAAGGTCAGAAACCAAAGAGGCCCAGTCACAATGTATGCACTCCAAGGTCAGATGACATAGCCTGTGATTTTCTCTGTGGCCAGGTCTGATTCCAGCAGTCCAGTCAGAGAGTTCCACAAAAATCCTTACCAGAGGTGATGTCACACTTGATTCTTACATGCACCAACCAGTTCAGGATTAGGTTCAGTCTGTCACCTTCACTAGTTAACATACCTACCAGCAAATGCAGCTACCTGGTCAGTTCCAACTCAGCCTCGTATCATGCAAACTGATAGAAACTGAGCTGTGGCCAAGTCCAACCAGCCTACCACAGACCCAGTCCTCACACACATCAGTATATCCATGCAGCCATGGTTGTTGCTTATCCAGACTCTGCCATGGGATAGCATGACCCAGAACACATTTCATCAAGCTGTCATGCACATCCATGGGCACTCGGGCTTAGCTCTCTCCAACCAACCTCCAAACCCCGCCTTATGCAATAAAACATGTGCAGCTGCATTGGCCATGCTTGGCTGCTCCAAACTTTGTTTCTCATATTCAACAATGGAAACTACAGCTTAGCAGGGCAGTGCCCACAGTTCTAACACCAGGCATCTTCTCAGTGCTGGATTTGCTCCTGCCAGAGTATGGTGTGTTCCAGCTGACATGAATCGTACCCCGTCCTGGGTATGGTACACCTAGCTTAGCTGTACCATACCCATTCTGTCTCCTTTGTGCTACAGTGTGTTGCTGCCAAGACTGACATGACCAGCCCCAACAATTGGAAATCACAGTGCATTGAAATCTAGTCTGACTGGCCCACACCCATTTTGGGTTTCACTCTTGGGTGCGACAGCCTAGCCCAGCCTGGCCTACACTGACACCCAGCTCTTATGTGACCTGGTGGGTACTGCAGGCCCACACACATTATATCTCTTGGGAGCATCAACAGATGCTGGAACCCAATCCAGTCAGGCCCAATCCAGACCTACCTAATGAAATTGGCATTTACCCAGCCTGGTCTGACATAGCTCCACCTTTCATGGACAGCCTTAAGAGATGCAGCCCAGTATGTGGGTCCCCAGAGTTCCTTTTCCAGGCTAGTTAGCCATGGATTTTGTGTGTCCTGTTGAAGTTTTGAACCAGTTGCCATGGAACACCCACAGTCTGAGCTCTTTTGTACAGGTAGTGTAGCCCAGCCTGTCCAGGCATAATCCACACCATGTCATGAATCTCCTTCATGCCTGCAGCCTCTAAGGCCTGGCCAAGCCGGACCTGGTGCACATATTTGGGGATACTGGCTGTATTTCTGCCTGGCCTGACACACCCCCAATGACAACTCCCATACTCAATGAGGGAAAAGGGGAAGCAGGTTGTAGACCAATAGGGGCGTTCCAAGTTCCCCAACCAAACCTAGACAAATGCCTGTGAATGCAGGGATGCTACTTGACATGATCTGCCCTCAATCCCTGAATTTGCATGCATTGATGAGTGCGGTAGCCTGGCACGAATCGGTATTCTCATAACATAGAGCTGGGAATTGAAACTTACTTTTTTTTTTTTTTAGGATTAATGATTTCTTAGAGAAGAAGAGCGACTGATAGATGAAGAAAGGCACTGGTATTTTAAGTTGCCCTTTTGTAATCCCTTCAATATTCCCCTATAGATTGAAGCCACACCTAACACTGTTTCTCTCTTTCAAAGTACCTACAGATGACAACAGAGTTCCTTTTCCATTTCACTTTGGGAATGTCATTATAAAGACTAACATGTGCTGCTAGTAATTGATTTTCTTTCACTACAAATTCACATTATATACAAAGAAGGAAATTAGAAAAATAACTCAACATTTAATAATGCTTTTATTCTGGACACTTAGGAAAGAAAGAATTCTGAATTATCAAATACCAATCATCTTCCACTATTTGACAGTGATAACATATTAATAACTCAACATTAGGCAGGGATTGAAACATGTGTTGGTCAATTCAGAGATTACAAGGTACTAGTTATTGTAATCATACATTTATGAAGGACCCAGAAAACTTCCTAGTGGAGAGTAGATCTAGAGAAATAAGCAAATATTAGAGTAGAGAACATGGAAGGAACCCATAAGAAGAAGGGGCCTGGGGTGCCTGGATGAGGACAGCAGTAGACCACAGCACAACAGCAGGTCTGTGACCTGCCCTCTTCAGACAGGAATGAAGCTGAGATTGTAAAGGCGGGGCACACGGCATACCCCATTAACAAGTGGAGTGGTGTCAAGGTCCTTTACATCACCATGAGACTTCAGGGTAAAGTTCTGTAAGATGCTGGTCAGAAACAGAAACAGCTCCATGCGGGCCAGGGCCTCTCCCACACACGCTCGCTTTCCTAAAAATAACAAGCACAGAGGATTTCCATCTAAATATTGAGTTCTGAAATGATAAAAACAAGTATTCAGTAACTAAGTCGTTAATGACTGAATCCATGTGTGGGTGGGTGAAAAACAGGCTAATTGGGAAGATGATGGGATATAGACATGGAAAGAAAAATGAACACTTGCTATACGCACAGCCTCATGTAACATCTGTCATTTCCCACTCAACAAATGCTTGCTTATTGCCTGTATGTTCAGTGCCACACATTTAATTAACGATTACCACAATATAATCACTCTAAATGATATAAAGTTTTAAGAGACACACATTGTGGACAGAGGGTTTAAGGAAGATGGGATGAAGAAAAGAAATTCACGCATGAACATTAAAAAATTGATCAAATGGAATGTAAAGGTAAGTTTGTTAAAGCTCAAGAATGATTAAAGCCATCAGAAACTTTCTACCTCATACTTTTCAATGAAGTATTGATAACTACTTTAAAGTATAAATAACAAAAATTTTGATCAAAATAAACATTTTTAATTCTACCTTCCATTAAGTTAAATTAATTCACTTATGGCCCTGTAAAATTCAGGCAGAGGGCCCAAACTGTGGCCTAGTGGCTAAATTCTTGGTTTGCAAGTGCAGGGAAACCAATACACACACTGAGGCTCTAGTCCTGGATGCTCAACTTCCAATTCAGCACCCTCCTTTGGGCCCAGGTAAGAGAAGAAGTTGGCATAAAGCCTTAACACTATGCAACCACTTGGAGGACAGAGAAGAAGTTCCTGACTCCTGGTTTCAACTCCACTCAGCTCTTGTAGTTGCAAGCATTATACCATTCACTGAGTGATACAATGGACAAAAGATCATTCTCTCTGTCTCTCCTTCACTCTGTCAATCTGATTTTTCTTCCAACAAATCAATAATAAATTTTAACAATTCTGCAGAATATTCGGTCAACTATTTTCTGTCTACCAGGACAGTATATAACCATGAGTTTCCACAGACATGCTGTCCATTAAAACCCTAAATGATTATCATGTCCATATCTGATAATGAGGTCAAAAAGGTTGTATTGGTCTCTCATGATCTATTTCCAATTATGTTTTCAATTATATTTAGCATCCCTCCTTTAGTGTAAGCACCCTCTATTCAGCTCTAGGATTATCTTACCCTCATCAACATTGCCAATCCTGCATTTCCAGGCTGTCCCATTGATCTAAGAAGCTCTTCTCTCCTGCTTCCCTTTGTAACCTCTATCTCCTGTCTCATGTCAATGAACTTCCTCATCTGCCGCCTCAGCAGCCTGTGTTTCCTTTCTCAAAGCACTCATCCTGATCGGTTGCAATGCTCTGGCTACTCACCTCCTTCCCTCATGTGAATGTAAGTGTCTTAACAGCATTTTATGCACCCTGGGATACTACCTCTCTGAAGTTCTAGGTCAATGCTGTATCAGGGTGTGTTAAACCACTGCCTGCATCACCTGCTTCCCAGAACAATGCTGGTTCTATTCCCAAACACTCCACTTCTGCCCATTTCCTGGTAATGTACCTGGGAAAGCAGCACAAGATAGCCCAAGTCCGTGGGACACTGCATGCGTGTATGAGACCCTGATGGAACTCAAGGCTCCAGGCTTTGTCCTGGCCAGACATGACTCTCGAAGCATTTAGGGAGAGAACCAATAAGAGACAGATGTGGTGCTGTCTTTCTCACAGCACCACATCTCTGTCATTTTCCCAGTCTCTGTAGCTTTGTCTTTCTTATATATTAAAAATAAAGATGTTCCCATGATGTATAAAACTGAGAACCATCACCAAAGTACATCAAAGTTATCAACACATGTACCACTCTCATGATCAGTGAGGAAACTTAGATGAGTCCCATTCTAAGAGAACCTTCTGTGTGCTAAAGCATATCTACACCAGAATTCAGTTTACATATTCTGCAGGTGTTTCATTTTGGAAGAACTGGTCACATCCAAAATACCCTAAATATAGTTTTAAAATCATTATAAGAAGGACAGAAGAAGTGGGACTTCGGACCACATTTAAACAGCACACCTATTATTTTCCAGAACACAAAATACCCATGTTTACACAGACATCTAAAAATCTATTCTATAGCCTGTTTTCATTGGAAATAAGTTGGTTACCTGCTGAGAAAGGTAGAAAGTAGTCACTTTTCTTAAAATTGCCACTCTTGTCCAGGAAGTGGCCAGGGTCAAACTCCTTTGGGTTGGGGAATTCTTTCTCATCGTTCAACACAGATGTCAGCATTGGAAATATTACTGTGCCCTGTTAAAACAGAGAACCTGAGTCCTGATGAAGTCAAGCAACGGGAAGAAGCAATGAAAATAAAACTCTTTGATCTGTAGATGAGAAAATCCTTGTGCAAAGGAATTCAGTGTCATTTCAGCCAGAACATGCAATAACCAGGTGTGTTGAAGTTCAGGAGAAAAATGAATTCCCTGCAATAGCCTCTGATGTACTGAGCTTTTGTGAACTCAGTGGTCAGTCCCACCTCAGTCCACCCTGTATTCCAGCAAGCCTGCACTGGGGTGCCTGCCCTCACTTGCTGTTCTGATTGGTAACAGGTGACTAACATACATGAGAGAATTTTAATTGTTTTCAAATGTTTGAGAAAATACACATATCTAGCTTGACACACTGTAGGAAATCAATATGATAGCAAAGCTTCAAAGATATAACTACAAACATCCTGAACCAATACAGCAAATCCAGTGCAGCTGCATAGGATTCAGTGTAAGATAATATGTAGGCACTTCCTATATTTACTAATAATATATTGCATAAAGACAGGCCTGAATCAATGGCCATACTTATCAATGGCAGAGAATCTACTTCATTCACCCTATATACATTCAACATAAGAAGGAAATCTGACAAAGTGGGAAACTTCACTGCTATGAAAAAATCCACAAAACCCTTAAGAAATATTCTCATTAGTGAGATTTTAAACCTCCACACCTCCCAGAGCTCCACGATACAATAAAGATGCCCATGGTTGTGACTTCTGCTAATCATGGTGCTAGAAATCACTCCAGGAAAGAATTGCAGTCAGGAGAAATGAGGAGAAATAATGAGAAGAGTTATATTGCAACAGATTGCAGAAATCTATCCACAGAACAAACACAGGATCCTTTCATTTTTATTAACAAGTAAATTTAAGAAGGTTGCTAGATAACATGTAGGAAAAACAACCCAGTTATAGTTCTGTATAGCAAAAACAAATACACTGTGACTCTATATCTAAAAGACTACGATTAATTGAAAAATACTTGCTCTCAAGGGAAGATTTATATCTGTGAAAGTCAGAGCAATTAAAATAAAACAATAGTGGTGAAAAATAAGTCATCTTCCAAACATTGGGACATCAGTATCGGTTGCAAAATAATCTCTGAGTTGGAAAATTCAACATATAATATCATGAGTTTATTCCAAATTGATCTAAAACTATATTGCCACTCTGATAGAAGTCCTGAGTGTTGGAAGTTGATAAGCTGATACATTTAAAACTAACATGCAATTGTAAGCACCTAAAAGCATTACACCTATTTCAAAAGTAGAGAAAAATCCTAAGGCTCCAGAAATCAAGATGTGTAATGGAAGATTTTTCTTTCTAAGAGTCATCTTAATGTATTCAAAACACATACTTAGAGAAACAGAGCAAGAATAGTGGAGAAGGGAGGGAGCAAAGGACAGAAAGACAGAGAGAAGCTTCATCCACTGCTTCACTCTTCAAATGGCCTCAGCCATGGTGAACAAGCTGGACTGGAAGAAGCTGAAAGCTTTCCCTGGTCTCCTGTGTGGATGCTGAGACTCTAGGACATGGGCCATCTTCGGCTGCCCATCAGCAGGGAGTTGGAGCTGAAGTGGAGCAGTCGTGACACATATTGCACATGTGAGCTACTGACTGACACAAGATTCATTCACTATGCCACAACTCGGGGCCTTATGCAGTTTTCATAGCTGCAGACCACAAAGACACAAACATATCTACTAAGACAACACACTTAAGAGGCTCACACTGTTCTCAGGCGGTGCTAATGGAAGACAGAAACCATTCTCTGTGTTGGGGAACATCAAAATAACACATTTGTGGTATAGGAGAAACAAACTCACCTTGGGGATGAGGTAGTTCCTGAATTTAACATCACAAGTTGTTGCACGTGGCGCACTTACAGGGATAAGATCAATGTATCTCTGGATCTCGTGGACGACAGCGTCCGTGTAGGGCATGCGGCTCCTGTCCTGCATGCAGGGGCTCCGGTGTCTGCCGATCACACGCTCAATCTCCTCCTGCACTTTAGCTGAGAAGACACAAGGGTGGAATCAGGGACAAGGATCAGCACAACCCATGTCTCACAGCAGGTGAGGGCTGAGTGAAGCAGGAGGCAGGTGTCCAACAGCCCTGAAGATCAGAGTGCATGGAGACTCAAGAAAGCATCACTGTAGCAGACACAGGAGCTTCATGGGAAATTCTTCCTCTGAGAAACTGGGCTTGGACTTTGACCGTGTTCTATGAAAATACATTTGCTATTTTGAATATGTGTACACTTAGCTTGATCAAAGTAATACACGTAATTCATTCACTTGATGAAGTACTAATCTAAATTAACTTTCACATAAACAGAAAATCTTTTTAAAATACAAAAGAATGATGATATTTTGGACATGCTAACTACTATGTTTTTGAAATGGAAACAAATATTTTGTAGGACACTAGTGAATAGTGTTTGTAAATAGTATTGCATAAACAAATATGCATATGACTTATGGATGTGTGTGTTTTGTGTGAGTTTCTTAACTACGTGGACTCTTTCACTTGCATTTATCACACAATTGGCTGCATTGAGATACTGCAGAAGATGATTCCAAAAGTTGTACTCACATTTGTATTGATTTTGATTAAGATGCAATTGTTCATACTTATGGGATACAGTGTGATCATTCCATGCATGTATTTCATAATTCAGGTTAGTTCACACTTCAATCACCAAGTAGTTTTTAAGTTTCCAATTACCTTTAATTCATTACAATTATTCATTATACATTATTCATGGGATATCAGATTTCTACATAGAGTATGTCCTAATCAAGATTTGTTCTTTTCGTCATGACTTTTGGTTTGCAGTCTTCAACCTCCCCTCTTCCATTTGTTCATAAAGACATAGTAAGTCTTCATGCACAGTTCTCATCCACCGTGTCAAATACACAAGACCTTACCCCCATTGTCAAGCTGGATTTGATACCTAGTATAGCATGACATCATTTACATGTGTTCATTTTGCTCTAAATATAGGATATTTAGGCCACCATTGCTGCTTACTGGGAAGAGACCAACCCACGCATTGTCAGCATTCTTTATGGACACCAACTTGCATCCTGGCTGGGCTGCTCCAACCTGTCTCAACTTCCCATCCCATATGAAGCTCCAGCCTCATGACCTCAAGCTGCTCTGGCTCTGGATGCTACAGTGCAAAATATATAACGCTTTCACTCTCTCTCTCTCTCCTGTCTCTCTTCTCTCACTGTGTTTCTCTTCCTCCCTGAATTCTCATAAATACATAAATTTAGGGGTCTGACAAATATTCTCAATCAGCTAATCATCCAGTTTCAAGCGTCAGCTTCCGATATTGGCATAATTTGTGTCATGGCAATTACAATTTCCATCCAGTACCCTGATTGGGGCAGTAGAGGAAGGCACAAAGCCTTTGGACTTTGCACCCACATGGGAGACCCAGAACAATTTCCTGGTTCCTGGCTTCAGTTCAACTAGGCTCTAGGCATTGCAACAATATCAGCAGGGAACCAACACAAGGATTATCACTCTCTCTCTCTCTCTGTCTGTCTCTCTCTGCCTTTGTCTCTCTCTCTCTCACACACACAATTTTTTTCCATATATCTGTCTTTGCAATACAAATGTTTTTTACACAAATTTTAAGGAAGTTTTAAACACAAAATAAAATGAGAAATAACACTTTTCAAGGCAGAAAAGCAATCCATTAAGTGTGGCATGTGTGTTTAATGTCTCATATATCCATAATTGTCAAGAAACATCAAGGAGAACTCCAGATCTAAGTTATTATAAATAGTGCACAAAAAAAACACAGGAATATTGCCATGTATTTAACATGCTGAGTTGATTTTCTCTGGAATTAAACCTCAATATTCAATGCCAGGAACACATAATGTTTATATTAGATTTCTGAGAACTGTATAGCCTTGTGTATATAATGACTCTAATTGCTGATTTCATCTGTTTTAACTAATTTCTATCCTTGCTTTCAAGGGACATGAGGACTGCTCTCTCCATTCCCACATCAGACAAAGTGTCAAAGTGATGTACCAACAGACACGCATGCACACATGCTCTTCCCTCACTCCGTTTCTCCAGTGTTTATATCAGTTTCTGCTACTTCAGTGTTCACCCCACACATCACTGTGGCTTATACTTCCTTGATTATGGACAAGACAGCTAAGATCTCTTTTGATCTTTTGTATATTCATGCTTAAACGGTTGATTTCAATTCCTAGTTTCAGATACTAATTTAGAAGTCTTGCAAAACGCTCTTATGTGTTTTAACTGCTAGTATTTATTCTCGTTACTGACAGCAACAAGTAAACAGTCACTTCTCTTTGGAGTGGGTGTCTCTCTTAACACACATTATCCTCTGGCCCACTGTGAAGTGGCACTTCCAGCTCTGATACCACACACACTCCCTATTCCTCCAGCAACGAGCGTCAGCCCTGCTGATCCAGGGCCTAGGTTCCTTCTCACATGACTTCAGCTGCGTGTAAGGAGACACCTTCTAGGGTTTGTCTGTGAAAGGAAAGCAGCAAATCAACTGTCATCAGTAGGACTCTGAAATTAAGCAAGCAAGTCAAGGATTTTAATGCCTTTCTCATCCTAAGTACTTTTATATACACTGCTGATATACCCATTTATCTCTGAATGAAAATCTTTATGATTTGTCTTGAATCTTAGTCTTTTGACATGTCAAGACTCTGTGTCTTTTTGGATATCTGCATTTATTTAATTTCATTTACACTGAGAACTTTCCTTGCAGATGGCAGCACCTGCAGGCCTTTCCACAGCTGCCGCCTTGCTCTGACAGCGCTTAGGCTGGAGCTTCAATCTCTCACAGCACTGGGGATCCCCTCATCTGCTCTATGTGGGTGACATGAACCATCCAGGAAGGATTCTCATCTGTGATTGAGTTATCATAGTTTCCATGGGTTTCTGAACCAAAAAATGTAAACCAATACACAGAAATAAGGCATTAAAGATAGGTGAATATTCATTTAAAAAGAAAAACATGGTTTGTGAAAAGTAAAACTATAGCAGAATTCATGTCTAGATTCTGGTTACTAGGTTAATAATCCCTTAAACACATTACTTCAATTGTTTACAAATTTAGTATAAATTTCACTGTGGAAATTTTCTCAGGTCACTTCCTCAAGTTTCTGGCATATCCACTATCATTCAAATCAATCAATCAAACAAACAAACAAACAAACATAAAATATCTTTTAGTCTTGGCATATGATGTCCCAGCTTAGGAACACTAAATTGTCAAATTAACAAAAGATCTCTGCAAGACTAACAACCATTTGAAGTGTTCTGCTCTCACTGAAAAGCCAGCAATCAGTCCAGGGCACTCCATGAAACCTGTGCCTGCAACATAAACCCCTTTGTGTCACCAGATGCTTTATCCACAGCTGTTGTCACTGTCCTCAGCTTCATGATGTTGACTACTGCTCTCATGTCCTCACTGTCTCAGTCATGCTTCCTGTCATGCACAGTGCTCTGGTCATTATCCCTTCATTGGAGCTGCACAAACTCCCTGTGCTCATACCTGTGACCTTGGGGTGCTTCAGCAGGAGCAGGAGCCCATATCTCAAGGTGGTGCTGGTGGTCTCTGTTCCAGCACTTAACAAATCAAACAGCGTAACCAACAGGTTGTCAATAGTGAATTCACTCTGTGGATTGTGCTTTTCCTAGGAATTAATTGAAAATTTGATATTGTGCCAGCGCATCCCATCACACTCATCTCAAGACAACTCAGATTTCCTAAAGTGCATGATTAAGATGCAAAGGACAGTATTACAACACTCTCAGCTGCTTTAATCTAGAAAGTATCATGTTAAGTTAAAGCAGCTAGATACAGAATCACAATCTCTGTATGTTCTCACCATTATAGGAAGGCTCAAATCCAAAACAAAATACTTGATATGCAAAATCAGGACAGATGGAGGGAATTTGATTTATAAAAGTAAGGAAGGGCCAGCATTGTGTCTTTGATATTAAAACAATTGCCTGAGATGTTGGCATCCCACCTGGGCAACGTTTTGCATCTTGACACAAATCAAATGGAAATCTGATTCACATCCAAATCTACGGCCTAAGGGAATCTGTGGAGGGTGACCATATTTGCGTATAAAGATGGTGGATGGCAGGTCTCTTCTCTGTGTAACTTTGTTTTTCATATATAAATAAACAAATGTTCATATAAAAAAGAAAGGAAGCTGGGTGTGGTCAATGTGTCAAGACAAGTATTTCATGCTAATATGGGCAATGTTAACAAGAAAAACAGACATGGTTTTAAATTGTTGCAAATATACCATAAAACATAATGTGTTAACAAGAGGGAAAATGCCTAGGGATTACAAAAATAATTGGAACTACCTCACAGCTTTTGCTTTACAAATGTGAAACTATTCTATTCTTAAAACATTTTCAATTATTGTAGTAAAACCATTGGTCTGTATGTGAACTGGATTTAGAAAAGTGTCAAAACAGGACAGACCATTGTATCCACTGGCAAATGCAAGAACCTGGACAAGTGCCAAGTGTAAGGGCTCTGCTGCAGCATCCACTGGCAAGTGCCAAGAGAGAATGCAAGTTATGTCAGACTAAACCCCTAAAACACCTGGAGAGTGCAAGATCTGGGACTAGGAGAGGGACATAAGAGAAATTGTAGATTCTCCCTCTTCTGCTGGACAAGATCCCTGCTGGTAGGCACAAGAGCCAGGAGGACCAGGAAAGACAAAGCAGCATCACAGATTAGCATACTTGTGGACTGAACTGTGTGGTGGGGTGGGGTGTGCTGAACTAAGCTTCAATACGCATAGGTGTTGAATATGCAGGACACTGATTCAGATGTGGCACAGACAGGACTATGCTGCTGTAAATTCTGCTACACACAGGAACTGGGGCTGGTAATGGCCTTGGTGGAGGTGATTGGGGAGTCACCCCAAGTATCTGGCAGTTTCCTCTACTGTGTGCAAAGGGCTAGGTTTCTGGCAGGTTGTGTTGGCTGGGCTGTAGCACCCATAGGTTGAGATAAGACATGGGGCTGGGGATGGAACAGACCAGGCTACTACAGTCACCAGGGTGTGTACAATCTGAAGCAGGTGACAGATTGAACTGGACTCTGTATGAACTGGCACATGCAAGAACCTGGGGTCATCACTTGTAATCAAAACACAGACCAGGAGATGGTTCAGATGTCACTTTGGAACAGGAGTGTTTCAGGATCCCTGAGAAGACACCTGAACCAAGTGTAATGGAAAAAAAATTTCAGGTTCTTGAATCCATTAAATTAGGTATATTGGTCCCAGAGTGGATATAAATAAGTTCAGATCTTCTCAATACCAGATAAAGTTACTATGTTAAAGGAAAGTTTTTAGTTGAACTTTCATCCCTGTGTTCAGATTTTTTAAAAAATCTTAGAGAAATGAGACCTTAGTGGGAAAATGCTATAAACCATACTGAAAAGACAACAAATCAATCTGTGAAATCAATACAATAGAGGTGCTTCCATTTCCACACAATCTACACATGTTCTAAATAAATATATTTGAAATCTTATTTCAAGCAAGACAACGCCACACAAGTTGGGAAAGTAAAACACAACTGAAAATATCCACATAAAACTCATACAAAATGATGTGGAAAACTAGACATCATCCCATCCCATGTACTGTGTCACAGAAGCCAGACCCACACCCAGCACTGACTTTCATCCTGAGGAGACAAGCTTTAAACCAAAATACAGGTACCTGAAAGAAGGTTACCGATCGTGCATTTCTTAATTCTCTAACTTAGAAGTGGTGTTTCCCTAAACCAAAGGAACAAACACAAGTTGTATAAAAGATGCACACACAGGCATTGTATTCATCCTCCATGAGTATGACAGGACCAAAATATGAAGGTCCAGATGTCTCCATTTGTGAGTATATGTTGCCAGTGATGCCACTGCTGACAGGAGAAGGTATGGAGAGCCCGTGTCAGGAAGCTGACAGGCACTGCACACAGCAAACCACTGAAATCCTGAGCAGAAGCCTCATGATTCCCCAGACTTGCCCTAAGTACTCCAATGTATCTAGAGAAATACCCTTTCATCCTGCAGAGGACTTATGCAGGCACTGACTGCCACGTGTTTGTGAGTCTCCTGCATCTCAACTACCTGTTTCTACAAGTGCCTGGGCCTTCTCATTCCCAATCCTCCTTAGGTCACAGACACCAGTCATACAAATGCAGGGGGTCCATATCAAGCAGTGTCCCCCACACAGGGATAACAGAGCTTTCAGAGCATGAGTGTAGGTAGTTTCTACAAATCCTCTCTCTGGAAAATGGAAAGAGAATGAAGAACAGACAGCCACTCTCAGCCCCACTGGGAGGATACATGATCTGGAATGTGTATCTAACCCCACATGTACAGCTGCAGCTCCACAGTCCGTCTTCTACCTTCACTACCTTGTAGCACTACAGGACAAAGCACATCCTCACCTCCTAGTGAGCACTCGAAACACAGGCAACAGCTGTGAAGAACATGAACTTCACATGGCATCTCAGAATGGCTCCCAGACGAAGGAGCGAGGTGCTACTTTATGGCCAATCTAACAAGACTGGTTGGGGCAGCTTTCTTTTCTAATGCACAGAAATTATCACAAGGTGCCCAGGAAACAAATGATAGATAGATCAACTCCAAAGAAATGGTAAGATCTATCCCCAGAAATTAATAGTAGTGCATAGCAACTATGTGACTTATCTGACACAAAAGTCTAAATGGCATTATAAAAGTGCTTGCCATAGTAAAGAGGGTAGTGTAAGAACACATGAATAAGTGGAGAATTCCCACAGAGATGAAAGTGTTTGAAAGATTAAAAAGAAATCATATAGTTCAAGATGAGTGTGGTTGAAACTAAGAAGTTCAGATTTACACTTTGATAGCAAACGAGAGGAAATTCAATGGACCTCTAGTACAAAAGGACTGAAATGTATTGACTGTACGTGGCTGACAATTCCCCAGAATCAATAGTCCAGTTCTGGGAATAACAAACAATATCACAAACAATGAAACCAATAAACCTAAGACCAACTCAAGTCACAATCAACTTGCCTGAAGGTAAGCACGGTTTCAAAACCATCAGGAGAAAACTGAATTCCTACACACAGTTTAACTCAGGTAAGAATATTAGTAAAGATTTTCACAGAAGAAGAGCAATATATTCAAATCCTGAAAGAAAAGCTTAAAAAAATACTATACCTGAAAAAGGAAGGGGAAACGTGAGTTTTGACGTGGTGGCAGAAGTGGCACCAGCCAGTTGCCATTGCCAATGACAGAGTGGCAGAATCCAAATTCCACCTTGCTCCTGTAGCATTTCCCTGTTAGTTCACACCAAGAGCAGGAGGTGATAGTTCAAGTAATTTGGTCGTGGCCCTCTATGTGGGACACTAAAACTCCATCCTTGATTTCTTGATCTGTCCTGTTCTCACTCTGATATGGAATTAATCTCTCTCTCTCTCTCTCTCTCTCTCTCTCTCCTTTCCTCTCTTCTCTCTTCTTTCCTACAAACTTCTTTGTCTTTCCCTATTCTCCTGTCTTTCATAGTCTGTTTAACTCTGACTTAAGAGAATTTTACAAAAAATGGAACCGTTCAGGCGTGTTGGTTACCTGGCTAGATTAAAACTTGACTCACTAAAAGAAGGATTGCCAATATAAATGTTAAAAATATCTTCACAATAAGATGCTGGACTTGTATCTTGGTCTAACCCTGATGTTGTGAAAAACGTACTTAGCTAAATGAACTCATGACTGTTACAGAAAGACAATGCAATTGTAATAATATGGTGATACAGTGGGGGCAGGAAGAAGGGAAAATCGCTGAGCATATGGAAATGCATTATGAAATGTAAATCTCTTTTTTACAAAATAAAACCTCTGACAGTCACTTTATAAAGAAGAGAGAGAGAGAGAGAGAGAGAAAGAGAGAGAGAAATCCTTATTCACATTATCCCGTATTCTGTAGGAAAGGAATGATGTCAAAATCAATTTCTGCTGCATATTTTAATTTTTAACCTATTTCTGCATGAACTGAGCTGTGTGCATTCCATATTATCTCAGAAAATATCTAGAACGAGAGCCTATATATTCTGTTAAACAATTCATTTTAACTCCTCCATGATACTTAATCAAGACCCATAAACACAGCCAGTACCTAAAACAATGGCCAGATATTTCATATCTTATTGTGCAGAAGTTCCCTATAAGCACAGAAATTATTAAAAAGCTACAATTGCAGACAAATAATGTTTTACCTGTTCCATTCTGATCAGGAAACAATCAATGAAGTCCCGAGGGTTGTTAATGTCCAGAGATTCTTGATGTTCTTTTACTCTTTGCAACGCATAATTTCTTATATATGCATTGTTTCTAATTACTGATTGGTGATCTCCAGGAAGATAATCAATAAGAATGGGAAATGTATTGCAGACCTTAAATATATAATTACAAGAGTAATTTTGGAAATTTATTAGAGGTAAACAACACACAAACCAATAAAATAAACTTTCCTAGAAAAATGCATCTCTAAATGGAGCTGCACCATTGGGATATTTGTGTAGGTTAGCCTTTGGCGCTGACAAGGAACGGTAAGGGAGAAAGCCCTGGTCCCTTGATCAAAGATGACAATAGCCTCTTTACACACATACTAGTTTCATCATCTTCATGTCAGTTCTCATTTAATATATCAATGCTTCCCTACAAATTCAAAATATAGAGTGTCATGAAGGCAGCATCCTAGGGTATAGAAAAACAGAGAGGGAAAAAAGGCTTAACAACCAAATAACCAGTCATTTGCTGCTATGTCTACGTTGAGCCTGCAGCCTCAAGAATAGAATCACCATTGGGTGAATGGGGGAAATGTGAAGACATCAAGGAATCCAGACCAGCATTTTCTGGATGAAAAATCATTCATTACAAAATGTCCTCACTCATCACATCACAAAATCATGATATTTCTCATGAATCTTTCATCCCCAATCAATCATTTTCCAGTGAACCTTGCTTTGTTAACACACCCACACATTTGAAGCTTCCAGGTGTAATCTGTGCTCCCATTCGGCCTCCTAGACATGTCTAGTTAGGGTCTTTCAGGCAAACAATACAAGGAAAATCCCTCTAAGTCAAGTAGTAAACACATAAGTGAGAACCAAAAGCTTTCAACAGGGACCTAGGAGGTCCACATAGGGTTGTGAACAGGCTAGAGGGCACAGAACCACCTAGAGAAAACCTGATGCCTGGTTTGATGGGAAAACCATCAATCAAGGATTTGAATTTCAGCATGATTTTAAAGGCACTTATTCTCTAAATACTCAACTCTATTTCCAGAAAGACTTCTATGATACTACAATATAAACAGTCCTGTGATGTGCAGTCACTTCACCATTTGATATCAACAAGGAAGTCACAGTAGACAGAGCAAAACTCACATTTCTCCTCAAACCTATTGCTAAATCAATGTAAACTACACTGAGTCAGCTTTTTCAGAACTCTAGACCACAGCAAACGGTTCAGAGAAGCAACAGTAAGCTCAAGGAAAGAAAAAGCAACTTAAATTAACTCTAGGAGCTGTGTCTTGTTATTTCCATTGCCTCGTCTTCCTCCTAAAAGGACAGTGGACTTTGCAAGGGCAGCCCTGATATCATGGTGGGACTATGCTCTACAGCTCCACACAAAGAGGTGTGTCTCTGTTCTAATTGTGGAAAAAACATCCAGAGCGTGACCCAAGACATTTGTCTCCATTTACGTTGAATTACGAATTCACTCAGATGCAAAGAAGCAAACATTCCTCCAAAAACTGTAGGAAAACAAGCACCCTGCCACCCTGCTGAGGATGGTCTGAACTTCTGGTTTAAGAGAACAATTTGAGAAATGATGTACATTCACCCTGGTTAAAGAGAACATTCTAAGAAATGAGGAACATTCACCAATGCTGTGCTTTAGAAAGACCACAAGATGAAGTGTTCCAGGGCCTTTGCTTTCATGATCTTACTCCTGTGTAGAAGAGGTGGATGCAGCCATGGCTGCTCCAACACACATGGTACATGGGCATGGGGTAGTACCAGGGAGCTGGTTCCAGAATGAGTCTCCTGCAAGCTGGTGCCCACATAACAGTGAAGACTGTTGTTGGTGTTATTAAAGAACATACAGAAGCATAACATCTGAGAGAGTACATACAAAAAAGTACGGGAAAAAAGGACATACAGAAGTTAAGGATGGGAGGCAGATGGAAGAGAGAAGCTTTGCATTTGTAGCCTCTAAAAATCATGACAACATTGCTACAATGATTGTTCAAAAATGCCAGACAATTGGTGGCATAGTTTTGAGGGGAAAATGGCTTTTCTAAGCAAGACACAGTCAGCTGCTGGATCACCAAGAGGACACGGTGGTGGATCTGATAATTTTGTGTCACGGAGGGAACACTGTATATGATTGAGGCAATTCTGACTCAGTAGAAATGTGGGAGGATCAGAAGGTTCTTGGTTGGAGCTTACAGCAGCAGCAGGGAAAATTATGGAGGAGGTGATGATGCATAGAAAGTGTGAATATGGTATTATTACTTGTGATTAAAGCAGCAGATTTATTGAAACCAAAAATTGAACCTAGTGGAAATTATGATTCCAATGAAACAAATATTGAAGTACCAATGACAATATATTGCTGGTGGCAATAAATTGTTTCATCAGTTATAGTGAATAGCACTTGTCAAATTAAGCATATAGGACAGGAGGCAGTTTTGGAGGACGTTGTTATGGCAACTTCCATAGCACTGTTTGTTCTACAGCTGTGGGTGGAACTGGTCAACCGGGTAATTTTAGATTCCAAACCCAACAGAAAAACACTACAGTTCTTGGAAAGACAGAGCGAGCAGATACAGGTCATCTTGCATGCATAGACAACTGTAAATAATCTGCCAGAAAAATCACTTGGAATCCAGAGCGTTTACCTGTGACTGAGCTGAAGTTTTGTTTAACCAACATGTAAAGGAAAGTTAGAAGAGACAAAACACATTCAGACTTTCTTTCCTCTTTCCTACTTTTCCCTCCTTCCATCCTTTGCTCTTCTTTTTTGTCTTTTTTCTCTTTAATATATCTCACTCTCAGACTTGCTCTCTTTTATTATTGTGTATATATATACAACTTCTTTTGTTTATCATTTTTTACTTTCACTTCAAGATTCATTTCTGTCATAACCAGTTACAAACTAGGCAAGGGAACAGAGAAAACATAGAACACACAACACATCAAATACACATTTTCAAAAGTCAAGAAAAAGTCACTAAAAACAGCAAATCCTACAAGACAAATAATAATCGTAAAGGTGCCATTGGGTAAAAATATAAATCAAAATCCTTACACAGAATTTAACTTCCTCACAAACTTAGATAGAACACCTTGCAAAGTCAAAGTTGAAAAGTGGAGAGGCTGCACTTGTCAGTGAAGATAAAAATGTTTCATCAGAAACAAAGGAACACAATCTCACCTTAACACTTGTGAAATTAGTAATCTCGAAGTTTTCATTGAATTTTGTCATCAAGTTAAGAAATTCCTGGTCTTTATACTCAAAACGGCTCTGGAAAATCATGGAGCAGATCACATTGCAGGGAGCAGCACCCAGGATAAAGGTGGGATCACACGGTGAGGCTGAGGGGAAAACATTCTTAAGCACTATTAGAAAGGCCATACAAACCTCCTACACTTTGAACTGTGACACACAGGTGATTTTAGAATTAAAACAGTAACTATGTACAAATTACCTGATCAGCATCATCTTCAAAGTGCTGAGAACAACACTACTCCCCTTCCCAGAAAGGACTGTTGACCTCATCCCTTATTGAATGACAGTCTGCCAGCTTCAGGAACACCCAATGCCAGAGGAAACATCACAGCCTCTGTGTGCAGGACTCTGACCCCAAGTCAATGTTATTTGGTGGCTCAATGGGATAACTTTAAAGGCCACCCTTAAACACCCAATAACTCAAGTTATCAGTGTGCAACTATATCTACACTATAAAAGTACAGTCAATTAAGCCACAAAAGAATAGGGACCTGATATACATAAAAATATTTGAAGAAAATGGTTGTGGAAGCTGCAGAGAGGAACACCAAGAAGAGAAAGGGTTGACACATTTCCGAGGTTTGATGGACCGCATAAGGACAGCGAGTATCCATGGAATCAAGGAAATTACTGCCAAAAAAGCTCTAAGAGAATTGGTTGCCTAAAATTAAAATAAAGATATGCAACTTCCATCAAACACCACAGGTAAATTGAGGAATGACATCCTTTGAGTTTTTAATGTAGGAGGAAATGTCCTTCCTTGTTAATCAGGCTGCACACCTTTTCTTTGCAGTAAGCCTGTGCTCTTGTGGAATTCTACATGGCTGTGCTACATAGACATCAAAAGTGGACGGTGTCACCATGAATTTCAATAATGATCATCGTTTAGACCTATCTCATCATTTCACATATAGAAAAAGTTAGAGGAAAGATTTCTATTTTGTCTTCCGTTTTGAAGTTTGGCAACCAACATTAGAATGAAATGTTTGTTGCACACAACACAGTAATACATTTCATGCTTAAAAAATAAACCACAATAATATCATAGATATAATTAAGCTGAATTGAATCAAGAGACTATAAGGACATGACATAGAATTAAATGACATATGGATAAGAAATTAAATAACAGATGGATAATGAGTGCATTGAAAGTTGTTTGGGCAATTAAAATCATAGCCCTGCAGCCATGAACACTGAAAAATCTCTAGACATGTTCAGATGTTCATTCCACAAATGCAGACCAACTAGTGACAGTCTGTGACACCTTGTCATGCTCCAAAATAGTGATCAAATCATTCCCAGCAGGCACTCTGGTGAAATGGTCTAAATTATTACTTTACAATTAAGTTACAGGAATAAAAATATCATTTTCTCTTTGAAAAAGTGAGGTTATGAAAACAAAGCAAGAACAGAAAAAGTTCTGATGAGGCTTTTCTTCCAAGTACTGTATCATGATCAGTACGTGAAGCACAACAACTAAATATGCACAAAAGCTCCCTGGACTCTGCTTCAAACAGTCCCTGCTCCTCCAGGGAGATGAAAGCAGGACAAAGAATGCAGTTGCTCACTATCCTTGCAATGAGTCACCCAAGGCTATCGCAGGACAGGGGAAACTTTTCTTAAGGACATTTAAAGAGTCAGCCACCAGATCCTAGGATGACATCAAGTGGCAGTCCCCATCCCCAGGTACTGATGTGGTTAGACTCCTGGGAGCAGCCCCCTTCCCTACTCTCCACTCTACTCCCAGTTACAAGGAGAAAAAAAATAAATCAAAAGCTATTGTCTCACTACTTTACCCTATTCCTCGCCCTGCCACACCAATCAATGGTCCTTATGCACATACATCCTTCAACTATGTAATCTTCATCAAAAGATAAAGTGAATGTGACTCTAAAAGGGGAGAAAAAGATAAATAAACTCACCATTGGTTTTCCTCAGCTCCTCCACAAGGCAGCGGGCCTCCTCCTGAACTCGCTCCTCTATGCTCCTCTTCCCCATGCCAACATTCCGCAGGGTCACAAGCGAGAAGTGCCGGGTGTGCTTCCATGTCTTTCCATTGCTAAAAACGATTCCTGACAGAAGGAGAAGTGGAAAGTCAAGGAGCATTTCAGGAGAAGAAGAGGAAGTTGGCACTTGAAAACTCTGCAGTTAGAGCACCCAGTTTCTGCACTCACCTTACCAACACCCATTGTCAACACCAACACAGACACACATACAAACATGTAAATAAACATGAAAACACACATGATCATATGTGTGAAATAAACACCTGTGAACATGCAAACATGAATTTGTGTGTGAACACATGAAAACACACATGTGAAGACTCACATGAGAACACTGACCTAATCCTTTATTCGATCTTTTGAATATTCCAGGAACATTTCTTCCAGAAAACTCCTCTCCCAGGTCAATTAGTGCTTCCTTCACTGCTTCATAACTGTGCAACACCACAGTGGGCTTCATGCCCAAATACACAGTGAACACAGGACCATAGACTTTAGACAGCTGAGGGAGAAAAATAAAAGAGGAATCTCATTTGGTTTACATAAGTCAGTTACTCAGGTTGTATGAACTCTTGGATAACTTTGTTCTGTCAGATATAATTTCCACATGCTGGAAGGTATACACAAACATGTGATGATTGCAATAGCTCCACACATGGTGGCTCCCAACAGCCACACATTGTAGGGGAAATTAGTGTCAGATCATTCTGGCTAGTCCACAAGGATTGGTTAATGTACCTTCTAGATTAACAAGACAAAAGACTAAAGGTTTAGAGATTTGTAGTTGTGTCTCCTATAACTAAGAAATAGATGGCCCATAATTAAATTGTGCTTCAGTGACACTGATGCCTGAGAAAGTTATCAGGACTCATGACTCAAATCAGACCTTCGACCCAGCTACACTATGACAATAATTGGGTCACCTATAAAGGTCCTGAAATAGGAAGCAGAATCAGTAGTAAGGAATACTAGATTTATAGTCACCAAGGAACCCTGAAAGGCCTGCCACATTTACGTTTTATGAGTGTAACTGAAACAGAGAGTGTGGGCACCGCTGAGGCAGATGAAGAACACACAGACCCAATGTAATTATAATTTGACCTCTACTATGCATTCGATGTTACAGACAGATGGTGCCTTGCACACGTTCACACGCACGCCATTACCACCCAGAAGACCCTGGCTCATTCTCTTTTATTTACTTGCAGTGAAGAGCCACAGAGCTTTCCTGGGCATCAGTAATACTTTGCTTCCCTAACAGTTAATTCTCTTGGCATAGATCTTTTCCCTTGATATCAGTAATAATTTGTTTCCTTGAAGTTTAATACCTTGGTTATCACAGCAAACTATAAGACTTAAACACTGATGATTTTTCACTAAAATCAGTAAGCACAAAACATTCCATTGTCATGAACTTTGAAGAAAAAAGAGCGATAGTGATAACACTGTGAAACAAACTGTAAAAGCCAATGGATTTTATAGCTTTGTCTCTACCCTACTGCTTTAAAGCTTCTATACTGACCAAATCCATTACTTTCTTCCAACTAATTCTGAAACACCACAATAAAGACATGAATACCGAAGGATTGTTTCCTTGAAATAAGATTCTTCAGTAATTAGCCTCCATCCATGAAATATTTTTAAAACTTAAAATAGATTATGTTTTACAAGCACAGGGACATAATAATGCATACTTACGTCCATTAGGTATGTACTAATGTCCTTAAAAGCTATCTGTAGGATGTTGCCAAGAACTGGAAGAGGAGTGGGACCAGGCGGTAGGTTCCCTCTCCCATGGCTCTGTTTCCAGAGTGAGAAGAGAAGCAAGCAGGAGAGACAAAGCACCAGCACCACCAGGGGATCCATGGAACCTCCTCTTCTTCCTAGACAAGAGGGAGCTGGCAACCACAGGCTGTTACAGAACTCCCTGTGCATCACGTGTGCTAGACCTGTACTCCAGGAGGTGGCTAGATACACCTTAACTCTTTTGACTGAACTTTGGTCCATTGGTAAATATTAAAACAAAATGTTATTTCCTAATGTTCTGTTTTTCATTGCTCCTTTAGTCCCTTCCAACAGAAGGGTTCTGATCAACTCAGTATGTGTGAAGACACAGACATGCTTCTGTGGCTTTTGTAACCAGCCCCAATGGTTGAAAGAGCCACAAGAATTATGACCCGATATAATAAAATAGTGCATTGAAAAATGTTCAATATTATGATTTGTACATTGATGTCAGTTGGAAATTCATAACATTGAGGGCAATCCAAGTATTCTGTACATTGTAACACTTTCTGAAATGCAAGAAAATTTTCCTTGAAAATGAGCACCACTACAAATATTTTCATGTGCTACACTAACAGAGTAATAAACATGATAGGTGAAATAATTCACTTTCACAACTTGGAATTTGGAATATCTTTTCAATTAAATATTCACACCTTCCACCATGAAACACCTTGAATGCAGATAGGACCCTTAATTTCAGGGAAGGAAGAGGATCCTACAAACAAGACACTGTAGGGCTCCCCAGCTCCCATATGTACAGCCAGGTTTAGAACGAGATCATTTGATTCCTCACATGTCAGCTTAAGGGACCACCAGGCTGCTCACTATTTAACAGAGCACTGCACCCTCAAGAGAACAAATAAAGACAGGGTTTCTCCACTTGCTTTCACACAGAGGTGACATTCTATATAATGAGACCAAAGCCTTCCAAAGAAACACAGTGAGAAGAGCTGAATAAATGGTAGTTCACCCAACTCCAAATCATCTCCACACAGCTCTTCCACTGCTAACATGGCTTGTCATCGTCAGCAACGACAGGTAGGATAAAGAGCACTCAGGAAGAAACTAGGGACAGAACCACAGGCATGTCCTGAAGTGGAGGATGAGACCAAGGACTTCTCCAAACAGATCCAAGGCACAGAAGGATCTGTACCACCTGCAGGTGCCAATGGCTGATGACATGCAGTGGGCAAGATTGGATTGACACTGATACAGAAAGCATGACGGCATCACCAAGTGAGTGCATACAAAGGCATGTTCTTTTTTAGCTTTAAATACATTTTTATTACTCAAAGTTTGTCACATAATTGTATATTTTTCTACTTTGTGCACAACTATTCTCACTCTCCATAGAAAGGCTGCTTTTTACTTCTCATCTGGTGATGGCAAGCAGTAATATCCTGACATGTTACACAAAAAGTAGTAGGAATGCCGCAGGTTATTTAAGTTAAACACAGTATACTTGCACATAGCTCTTACACCCAATATCAGGAATATGCAAAAAAATTATTCAAAAATACAAACTATGGCCCAGCAAGTTAGCATAGTGACTAAAGTCCTTGACTTGCAGTCACCAGGATCCCATATGGGTGTCGATTCTGATACTCACAGCACTGCTTCCCATCCAGCTCACTGCTTGTGGCCCGGGAAAGTAGTTGAGGATGATCCGAAGTCTTGGGACTCTGCACCCATGTGGGAGACTTGATGAGTCTCCAGGCTCCTGGCTTTTATTTGCTCAGCACCTGCCATTGTGATCACTTAGGGAGTGAACCATTAGATGGAAGATCTACCTCTCTATGTACCTGACTTTACAATAAAATAAATCTTTAAAAGAATACAAAATGAATTATCTGTAGGCAAGGGCATGACAGCAGCATACCATTATATATTGTCAACTGAAAGCAGTAACTGATGCTTACACTGATTTTCTTCAGCCAGTCTTTTAGTCATCTCTCCAACTGAATTCTCTGAAGTTCTCAATGAGGAACACTGCCTTGCGGGTCCTGTCACAGTTCATTAATAATGGTAAAGCACTATTCTAGAAATTAAAACATCTCACCTCCCATACCCCTTCCCATTCTGCCCATCATGGCCATTCCAGAGCCCTTCTCTTGGGAATTTCTGTGACGAATACTTCTGCTGTAGGTAACAGAGAGGCCACTCTAGCAGCGGCCAGTAAGCCAGTTCTTACAATCGTTGCTGGATCAATGATTCTTTTTTCTACCATATTCATTAAAGGCCCAAGCATAGCATCATAGTGAATTTAGGAGAAATTCTGCCAAATTTTCTGCATGACCAAAGATCCATTAATGCTTGTGTTCTTAGCAGATAGTCATTGTCGGAATTTTGAGTGTTCTTTTAATAACGTGTATACCAATCTTTTGATCTTCATTAGCTGAAGTTAATGAGTCCAAGGCTGGAATGCACCAAAGCAGTGCACATCCACCTCCCAGAACAATGTCCTCTTCAACAGCAACTCTTGTAGCATTCAGGGCATCTGTAACACCCCTTCCTTTCCCTTACTTCAACATCACCTGCCCCACCACCCTGCAGCATAGCAACTCCATCTGAAAGCTTGGCATGGCGTCCATTCAACTTCTCCTTTTCATATTCACTAGTTGTGACATCTACCTGCTCAACTGTTTCCTGAAAAACTTTTCAATTTGAGCCTTGTCTCCTTTTCCTTTCAAAAGCAGGGCATCATCTTTGGCCACATGACTTCTCCAACTTTTCTGAAGTCATGAGATTGAACATCTGCAAGATTCAGGGTCAACCACTCTTGTCCAAATACTGCAGCACCAGCAGCAATAGTCATGTCTTTAAGTTGGTCTTTTCTGTTGTCACCAAAACCCGATGCTTTCACTGCTACAACCTGAAGACCAACTTTTAGCCAATTCAACCCAGTATACTTAGAGCCTCTTCATCAACATCTTCAGCCATTATAACTAGAGGCTTACGGTGAGCATTGGCAATTTCAAAAGCAGGTACAATGAACTGGACACTAGAAATTTTCTTTTCACTCAACAGAACATAGGCATGTTAGAATTCACATTCCTGATCTTTAGATGTATTAATAAAATAGGGAGAAATGTAGCTTTGGTCACACTTGATGCCAGGAAAGCATGTTCTGAAAAACAAAAACATCCTGACTTTTGCCATCAACTGCAATCACAGGCCATAACTCTTTCAATTTACTTTTCCTATATAAGGTGTGCTACATGTGTACCAGCTGGCGCTCTGATGCTTGGCGTGGGGCTGCTGGACTTCTACAGCTAGGGATGCTTCAGCCCACTAGAGGTCCTGTTCTCTGACCTCTTCCGGGACCCGGACCATTGCCGCCTGGCCTTCGCTGTCTACCCCTTCATGATCAGCCTTGGTGGCTGCCTGGGCTACCTCATGGGGCACCAGTGCCCAGGCCCCCTACCTGGGCAGCCAGGAGGTGTGCCTCTTTGGCCTGCTCACACTCATCTTCCTCGCCTGCATGGCGACCACACTGCTGGTGATGAAGCAAGTTGCTCTGGTTCTGGCGGAGCCAGTGGAAAGGCTGCTGGCGTCCTCTGGGCTGCCCGCTGCTGTCCGTGCTATGCCCACCTGGCCTTCCGCAACCTGGGCTCACTCTTCCCCTAGTTGCACCAGCTCTGCTGCCACATGCCTTGCACCCTGTGCCGCCTGTTTGCGGCCAAGCTGTGCAGCTGGATGGTGGTCATGAACTTCATGCACTACTATACGGACTTCGTAGTTGAGGGACTGTACCAGGTGTGCTCAGGGCAGAGCCAGGCACAGAGGTCCAGAGACACTATGATGAAGGTGAGGATGGGCAGCCTTGGACTCTTCCTACAGTGCGCCAAATCCCTGTTCTTCTCCCTTGTCATGGCCCCGCTGCTGCAGCAATTCCTGGCCAGAGTGGTGGCCTTCCCTGTGGTTGCTGGCGCCATATGCCTGTCGCCCACCGTGGCTGTGATGCCATCCTCTGCTGCCCTCACTGGCTTCACCTTCTCGGTCCTGCAGATCCTGCCCTTACATTCTGGCCTCCCTCTACCACCTTGGGAATCAAGTGTTTCTGCGGAGGACAGCCTGTCCACCAGCTTCCTGCCAGGCCCTAAGTGTGCTGCGGACGTCCCAATGGACATGCAGGGGCTGCAGGTGACAGCACCCTGCTGCCCTCTGCAACCTTGCTCTGCAGAGCCTCCACCTATGTTATGTCTGTGTGGGTGGCGGTGGAGCCAGCCTAGGCCCAGGGCATGCTGGGCCAGGGCACCTGCCTGGACTTTGCCTTCCTGAATAGTGCCTTCCTGCTGTTGCAGTGGCCCCGTCCCTGGTCATGGGCTCCCTTGTGCAACTCAGTCATTCCATCACAGCCTACATGGTGTCAGCCGCAGACCTCGGCCTGGTCGCCATTTGCTTTGCCACACAGGTCGATCTCCCAGCCTCCAGGTCAGTGCTTTCTCTGCAGCCTCCAGGGAGGGCTGGCTGGGCAGGTGGCTTCCAGAGTGAGTTTCACAGTTTGGATTTGTGCAGGGAGTGGCAGGGCCTGGAGCATTGGATTAGCTTATGCAGTGGAAGGCTTGATCTGAAGATGGATTACCCAGGCTCAGGGTGAACATCATGTGTCATGAGACATACCTGGAGAGGGCATGTGAGGCCCAGACCTGGCCTGGCCACCTGGGCCCCTATCTGTAGCTCCCTCACCCCATCCTGTACTTCCCTTCCACCTCCACCACCCAATTGTCTGGGAGTGGCAGAACTGCAGGACTTGACAATGTGAAAGTGCTGGGGTGGGAGTGGTGGGAGGCAATAGGAGAATGCCCTAGAGGGTGTGGCATCCCTTTGTCCCCCGACCCCCATTTTATGAGAACATGGCTTGACTTAACTTATTTATTTAACAAAGTGGAAAGGAATCCATGTCCAGCTTTGCCAGGTAGGCGTCTAGGAGTTGCAGGGAGGGGATAGAATCCCCAACTGCTGGATGCCCTGACTTGGCTGACCATGGGGCAAAGCACTACCAGGATCACCTTCTCTGGGGTCACTGATCTGGATCCCAGAATTACCAGACCCCCAAACCTCAGAAGTTCTACTGA